ATCTTAAGGCGGAAATGACGACCTTGGCAGGTTAGTGCAGAGGAGAAATGGATGGATGTTCACCACATTGTTTTGCCGGTAACATACAGACAGGAAGCATTGTAGGTAGCACACGAATTACCTGTAGGAGGTCATCTCAGAGTGAGGAAGACTCAGGCCAAGATACAGAAGCATTTCTATTGGCCTGGATTACATATGAATGTTGCCGTACCTGTTATACGTGTCAGATGTTAGGAAAGCCACAGGCTGTAATAAAACCAGTGCCTTTGATGCCAATTCCCTCATTTGAAGGACCTTGCACACGGGTTATTGACTGTGTAGGTCCCCTCCCTAAAACCAAAAGTGGGAGCCAGTATTTGCTAACCATAATGGATGTGTCTACCAGGTTTCCAGAGGGAATTCCATTATGGGATGTCAAGGCAAAACAGGTTGTGGAGGAGTTGTTTGCTTTCTTTACCTGTTATGGACTACGCAGGGAGATTCAAATCAGACCAAGGGTCCTATTTTACTGCCTAACTATTTAACAACGTCATGGATAATTTAGGCATCAAATACTTTAAATCAAGTGTGTACCCAGGGAGCATTGGAAAGGTGGCATCAGACTCTATTCAGCATGCTGAGGGCTTATTGCCAGGATTACCCAAATCATTGGGATAAAGGTTTCCTATTTATATTGTTTACTATCAGATGCTCCAAACAAATTGCCACAATTTACTCCATTTGAGTTGATATTCGGACACAAAATGAGAGGGCCTTTAAAATTAATTAAGGAAAAGTTGATAGGACTGACGTCAGAGTTATCAAAGTTGGATTATACATCTGGAGTGAGAGAAAGATTAAACAGTAAGTGAGTTAGCTAGACGACATTTGAAGGTGGCACAGCATGTAATGAAGAAAAAAGAGCAGATAAGAAATCTAAAATTTGTATGTTTGCTCAGGGGGATAAAGTATTGGTGCTGTATCAGTGGTAGGAGACCCCTTCAAAGCAAGGTTTAGTGGTCCCTATCAGATTGAGAAGTAGTTAAGTCAGGTGAATTATCTGGTAAAGATGCCGGATAGAAAGACACTTTATCGGTATGTCATGTGAATATGTTGAAACCTTACAATGACAGGGACAGGGAACTGGAGAAAAAAGTATTAGTTACTGCCCCTCAGGGTGAGGAAGTCCTTAGGGAATGGGCTGGGATAGTGAACTCTCTGTCTCAGGAACAGAAACGTCAGCCTTCCTGCTCCTCTGATGCTGCTTGGCCTGCGGTGTTCATCCAGCTCTTCACCTTGTTATCTCATGAATTGAAAGGCTTGTTGCAGAAAAATGAGGACATCTGTGGTAATAGAATGGGGAGGACTAGTACTATAATGCATGAAGTTGAAGTAGGGAATGCTGTTCCAATAAAACAACACCCAAACAGGCTTAATCCTCTTAAAGCCACACAGGTACAGAAGAAAGTGGAAGTGAACCTGCAAGAAGATGTCATCGAGCCGAGTCAAAGTGACTGGAGTTCGCTGATCATGTTGGTTCTAAAGTCTGATCGTATTCAACGGTTCTGCGTGGATTATCGGAAGGTCAACGCCGTAACTAAACCTGACTCATACCCAATTCCAAGGCTGGAGGACTGTGTGGAAAAAGTTGGACAAGCCATGTATGTCACCAAGTTGGACTTACTCTATGGTTACTGGCAAGGACCTTTGTCGGAGAGAGTGAAAGATGTTTCTGCATTTGTAACCCCAAATGGGTCTGTATCAATTTAAAGTAATGCCCTTTGGAATGAAGAACGCACCAGCCACATTTCAAAGAGTTATGAACCGAGTTGTGGCAGGATTGAGCAATTATGCCGTCTATATAGATGACTTAGTGATCTTTAGCCATTCGTGGAAAGATCACATGGTGCATTCGGCAGTGCTCTTTGAAAATCAATGGGAGGCAAAACTGGTTATAAACTTAGCAAAAACTGAATTCGTGAAGGCAGAACTAACGTTCTTGGGACACAACATCGGACATGGAAGTGTGACTCTGTGGAACATAAAGATGAAGGCCATTGAGGAATTTCCAAGACCATCCTCGAAGAAAGAGGTGCTTCCATTTTTGGGACTGAGTGGATTCTACTGGAAGTTTGTGCTGAACTTTAGTAGCGTGGTGGAACCGCTGACGGACTTGCTAAACAAGAACATGAAATTTTGGTGGACACAACAATGCCAGAAGGCATTTGAGAATTGAAAAGCTGTGTTAACTACTGCACCATTTCTCGAAACCCTTTAAAATCACTATCAGCGCCAGCAATATAGGGTTTGGAGCTGTGTTGATGCAAGAAGATGATGGAATCAAAAGGCCAATTGGATATTTTTCAAAGCAACTCAATATTCACCAGAAAAAATACTCCACCATTGAAAAAGAATTATTAAGTTTGGCACTGGCCTTACAACATTTTAAAGTTTATGTTACAAACAATATTTCGGAGACGGTTGCATATACAGATCACAACCCTCTCTCCTTTTTTGGAAAAATATGAGACTACTTTGTTGCAGTCTTATGTTACAAGCCTTTAACTTACAAATTGTACATGTTGCGGGACAGAAAAATATTGTTACAGATGCATTATCACAAGTTTAAAGAAAATGTCAAGGCGAGATAGAAATGGTACAGTCCAATGTTTTATATATTTGAATTAGTATGAAAGGTATAGCTTCAGAGTACAGAACTACGTATTTCATAGTGATAGTGTTAAGGTTTAGGAAAAAAATGAAGCCATCATTTCATAATGATGGTTCATTTTTTTTCTTAAGAGGGGAGGTGCTATGAAGTTGGGTAGAGTAATAGTGAGGTGGAAGGCAGGACGCTAAAATGTGTGGTTGCTTTAAGAGAGAGCAGCAGCTGAAGTCGCCAGTACAGAGAGCCTCAAAACGTGAAACAGGCGTCTATCAAACAAAAGTCTTACAGGTCACAGGCCAGACAGCATTTTTGTTTTGATGTTGCAACAACAAGATTAATTGGCTGAATTCAAATTAAACAAAGCACCGAGATACAGAAAGCCAACTGAATTTAAATCTGATGGTGTTGACAACCTGAATCCAATCCAATTATAAGAATTTGATTGTGTCATTACGTGTATGTAAGACGAGGACATTTGGAAAATTGGGGAGAGCCATCTGCCACCTGCACCATTCAGCTCTCAGAGAAAGCCCATCTAATTAATCAAAGGTACTATGGTATTATAGCTCAAAGTCCTCTTTGAAGAAACTATTGAGATAAAACATCCCTGACAGCAGAATTAACGGAAGAAAGGCGTTTGGGAAGAGACTGGAGATGACAGAACATTCCAGAAGACAGTTTGGAGAGATTAAGTTATAATTTATTGCTTCTTATTAATTGGGTTTATATTAGTGGGACTTGTCTTTATTTAAACTGCATTCCAGTAGAATTTAGACCAATTAAGGAATAGTTAGTAGGCTAAGGGAGAATTATCCATTTGTTAGTAATTTTGTTAAGTTGTTCATTGCTGGGTTAAATAAATAAATTGTTTCTTGTTCCTTGTAAAGTGGAGATGAGGGATTTTCTTTCTTTTAACCACGCTTTTAATAGATTGAGGGGAAAGGCGTTCTTTTCTGGGTGTTTCAGGGGTAATTATTAGAAGGGAACCTCTCATCCTGTCGTTGCAGATTGCGGCCTGTGTTTTGGTTTCACTATCGGAAGGGTTCGGCCAATCCCTATCACAACAATACCACTAGGCCATCGCCTCTCCACAGAAGTTTTACTCGCTTCACTCTTGCTTCATTTGCATATCACTTTCCTTTATTTCTCCAAATCCTTTCTGAAATTTCCTGTAGAATCTGTTCCCAATGCCCTTTCAGGCAGCATGTTCCAGATCACAATGACTTGCTGCTCAAAGACAGCCTCCTCTACCCTCTGTTTCTAATCTCTCTACATCTGCCTCCTCTGGTTGCCAACTTGGAAATTAATTCTCTTTATTTCCACACAAGATCCTTTCCGAGTTTGAACAAGTCTCTCTTGCGTTGTGTCGATGAGGGTTTCTGTGGAGCCTTCCTGCTCTTCCTGATTACAACACTGTCTCGTCTTCACTTCCAGAATTCCTGAGGTTTCTTCTCTCTCCTTCCTCCGACAATTGGCTGTGAGCTGCCCCTCCCCACGCTGTCTATGTGTTTTATTCCTCTCCCCTGCAACAGCACAGAAACAGGCCATTTGGCCCAAGTGCTCTGTGCCAGTATTTAATCTCTACACAAACCTCCTCCCACTCCCCTTGATCTCAGCCGATCAAACTCCAAACCTTTCTCTCTCTCCCTCCCTCCCTCAATACTATCTGTATGTGAGGCTGCAACCCCACCACTCCCCCTCTAACTATCTCTTCCTTTCTCCTGCAGGGATTTATCCAGCTTTCCCTTAAAAGCATCGACATTATTCCCCTTGACCACTCTGGGAGTGACATCCTCTTTCCCAGCACTGTCCAGATGAAGATGTTTCTCCATAATCTCCAATCGGATGACGAGAAATAGGGCAATAGCATGAGGGAGAGGAAAGTGGAGCTGAGACCATTACCATTTCTGAATAGTGCAGCAGGCTTTATGGGCCGAGTGGCCTCCTTCAGCTCCTAGATTCCACATTCTGGTTTCCTCCTGCCAAGCTCAAATATGCTCCCTCTGTCTACTCTTCAGGAATTAAAGGTTACCCCGCAGTTTCTCTTTTCCAGAGAAACGTGATGCTGTCTGTTCAGGTTTTCACACTAATTCCACTTGCATGGACGTTTCCAGAAGTGAATTCTTTCTGAACCTTCTCCAGTGTCTCAATGTCATTTTGAGTTTAAACAGAGACCAGACTGTTCAGAGAATTCAAACTGGTCACTGAGGCTCAACACACATTGACTGCAATCTCACTGTTTTGGACTCCCATCCCTTGTGGGAAATCAGATTTCTGGTGTTTGGTCTAGTTCCCAATATCCTGCGACCCACTGCCATATCGCCCATTAGTACCGCACCGCGACACCACACCGCTACACCGCACCATTGAGACAGATCTGCATTGCGAGGGGTTGAAGGGATGACCTACCAGAGCGGAAAAACGTCGTACATGGGTTGGGCCATTTCTGCCACATCCTCCGCGGTAACACTCCGGGAACGCTCCACAGGTGGAGGGAGGTGGAAATACGACTTGCCTGAATCGCCACGAGGTTTCCACCAACACCTGGCCTCAAAAAACATCATCAAATCAAAGGTGGTTGTGACAGAGTCACAGTGAAGTCAGATACTGAGTAAAGCTCTACTCTACTCTTTTAAAACTTGAAGTAAACTAGAAGCAAAGCTCTTTCCACAGTGTCCCTACCAAACAGGGACCACATGGGCTTAGGTACTGAGTAAAGCTTTCTCTACTCTCTTAAACTGAAAGAGAAGTTTCCTCTACACTGTCCCCATCAAACATTCCCGGGACAGGGACAGCATAGGGTTAGATACAGAGTAAAGCTCCCTCTACACTGTCCCCCATCAAACACTCCCAGGACAGGGACAGCACGGGGTTAGATACAGAGTAAAGCTCCCTCTACACTGTCCCCCCATCAAACACTCCCAGGACAGGGACAGAATGTGTTAAATTGTCAGTCATTATAGAGTGTTTAGTATTTGTTGTCTGTGGGATGTTTCTGTGTGTAAATTGGTAATTGCAGCAGTGATTACACTTTCAAACTTCCTCACTGTCTCTGATCTGTTTATTTAATGACCTCACAACATCACGGAATATTTTAGAGACATTTTGATGAAATTCTGAAGTCTAGTCACCGTCAATAGGATTGGGTTCATCATCTAGGACTATGCAGGAGATAGAGATTTTCTGCCTGTTAAGAGGAAGAAAATTGCACTTCAAATAAAACAGCAAGTGGGCTGTTTCCTGGTTAACATTTGCCAAGTGCATCTGTTTAATGTGACAGAAACTACTCACCGTTAATAACAGGGGTGAAAACAGCCACACCTTCAAAGTTGGGGTTTGTGACAGTCTTGTCCAGGATCAAGCCACCGACGCTGAGAGAACAGGGAGCAGAGGAATTCAATCAGAAGTCATCAACACAGTTCACAGAGACTAACGACAAAACAGAGCAGGCAACCGCCTGGGAGCATATGGTGGGCGACAGTGGGTCCTGTGGTGTGTGTGTGTTTCCTATTCATTCACGGGATGAGGGTGTTGCTGACTAGGGCAGCATTTATTGCCCATCCCTAATTGCCCAGAGGGCTGATAAGAGTCAACCACATTGCTGTGGGTCTGGAGTTACATGTAGCCCAGACCAGGTAAGGATGGCAGTTTCCTTCCCTAAAAGGGCATTAGATGGGATTTTCCTGAACAATCGACAATGGTCATTTTTCAACTCACATTTTCAGACTCGTATTGAATTCATATTCCTACATTTGCCATGGTGGGATTTGAACCCAGGTCCCCAGAATGTTACCATGGCATCTGGATTTATTGTCAATTGACAATCCCATGAGGCCATCGATCTCCGCGCCACCCCCCCCCCCCCCCCCCCCCCCCACCAAGAGTTTATTCCTGTCGATCCTCCTGGTGTTCACTGTGGCTGGGCAATGCCAGGCCCTCAGGGCATTTAGTGACTATCCCTCACCCGCCCCCACACCATACCTCCCCCCCACGCCCCCCCCACCCCTGACAGTCCCACCCACCCCACCCCCCTCAGTACGACGGAAGGACACAGTCAGACACTCGCCTGCTAATCGTCATGGCAACCAGTACAGGCTGCCACCCAGTTTTGAGCACCTCCTTTATCTGGGGGTTCCTCTTGGCGATGAGCACCCAGAAGGGGATCAGGCCCAGGAAGACTCCACACAGCGAGGGGGCCAGGTACACCAGATCTGGGGGCCAGGTTCAGCAGTAAGTCACAGCAACCAACTCCAACAAACACACTCACCAAACCCCCCCACCCACCCCCACCCCCCCACCCACCCCCAACGTCCGCACCCATTCCCCACCCCCATCTGCACCCATTCCCCTCCCACACCCATTCCCCACCCGCGCCCATTCCCCTCCCACACACACTCCCCACCCCACCACCTCCCCTCCGACCTCCACCCCTCCCCACCACCCCCCCCCACCCCCCCCCCCCCCCCCCCCCCCCCCCCACCCTCCACCCCCATCCACACCCACTCCTGCACCCGCACCCACTTGGGGCTTTGGGGAGGTGGGGATTCAGGGTCACTTGCCCATTGTATGGGTCTCTGGAAACCCCAGACATACATGCAGGAGGAGAGTCTGGGAGGAGCTCGTAGCTGGTGAGCTCCTGTTGGGACCAATTCACACCCGAAAGTGATTCAGAGCCGACAAGACCTCTTTGATATCTCAGTTGCCGTTAGGAAAACACAGCAGCCAGTTTGTGTGTACAGCAAGATCCCAGTCCACATCACCCCATGATAATGGGCAACAATCTGCTTTTCCATGATATCAGTCGAGGGTGACATATTGGCCTCAGGTCCCCTACCCGCTTTCCTCTGGAGGAATCACTTAGTCCCTACTTACCCCCACCTGATGATGGGTCACGGGGAGAGTAGCGGGACCCCGAGAGGGTCACGGGGAGATTAAGGGACACCGAGAGGGGCACGGGGACCCCGAGAGGGTCACGGGGAGAGTACGGGGACCCCGAGAGGGTCACGGGGAGAGGAGGGGATCATGGGGAGAGTAGGGTGCCCCCGAGAGGGTCACGGGGAGAGTAGGGGGACACTGAGAGAGGGGTTGGTGGTGGGGGGGCAGGGTGTGGTGGAGGAG